TCATCATCGCTTGGTCTTTTGTCTGGGGTCTAAAATACCCTCATTTTTGCATACTACTCCAGACCATGATATGGCCTGCCAAATATAGTCTTGGTGCACGACTCCTGCTTACCTTGGGTACCTCAGTGCAGTGGGATCGCTTACATAAATCCATCATTTTTTTTTTCTGTACTTACTGGCACTAATTCTAGAGCGGGTCCACAAAATACTGGAGATGGTTTCTTCATCTAGGTTTTCCCATGCTTTTCATCTAAGTGTAATGGCTTTTCTTTAAATTCATGAGTCCCCCCTAACTGACTTGACAGGCCTAGGGCTACCAGCTTAATTATCAAAATTTGTCCTGTACATGGCTCCTGATGTTTATTCCTTAGGACACAAAGACCAGGGAATGGCTTGAAGGAAAATTGTCATTGACAATGTTAAAGTACTCCATATATTCTATAAGAGCTCCCAGGAATTATCATACAAACAGACTGGCAGCTTACCTATAAATTACATGACCAATAAACATGCCCATTAACAATGCAAAACCCAACTGGGATCTGGCCTAGTCGAGTTATAGTAATTGGAATAGATTGGGATCTGGCCTGTGACATCCATATTATCATCAGTGTATAATAAAAGATTGGTGGTGATAATGCTGTAAGCATTACATAATATTGCCTCAAAATTGAAAAAAAAGAAACTATTTTGGGCACTGTCGCCATAATGACAAATAAAGGAAACCCATGTTAACTTATGATTCTCAAACTTAAAAAAATGTATAGGAGTGGAATGCAGCTTGAGATGAGAACCAGTCTTATTGCATTCTTTTGCTGAAAGCAACGTAGTTGTGAAAATTTCATTTTTTATGTACAGACACAGATGTGTCTGTACATATTGGCATCACCTGTGTCTGTCGTCGCCATCGCCGTCGCCGATGCCGATGCAGATGCCGATACCGTCGCCGGCGCCGTGCACTTTCAGCGTAAACACGATAAGTGGAACACAGTTTTACTTTTTGGTTTTATATTTACAGAGCTGATGATTATTCATAAAATGCAGGTCAAGTTCAAAAATCAGCATGATCAGGCCATTATAGTAGAAGTTATGCTGTTTTTTTTTCACTTTTCAGCATATATGCAACCTTGTAAACACATTTTAAGGAAAACCAGTAGGCCTGTTGTCATGAAACTCACAGGAGTAATCAATCTTACTACAACACAGGTCAAGTTTGAAAATTGGCATGATCGGGCCACTATTTTAGTAGTTATGCTGTTTTGTCATTTTTCAGCATATATGCAACACTGTAAACACAATATAAGAAAAACAGATAGCCCAATTGTCATTAAACTCACAGGAATGGACAATCTTAATAAAACGCAGGTTGAGTTTGGAAATCAGCATAATCGGGGCATTATTTTAGAAGTTATGCTGTTTTTTCACATTTCCTCAGATTCAATTCTTAGGCATGTGAATAGCCTTATTATTTAACTAATAAGATACGTAAAAGTGTTTGTTTGACATTTACTGCATCTTTACAACATTGTTAGTTGATTATGTAAAAATGATGGCAAACTTGTTATCCTGCATTGTGTAATAAAGTGTCAAAAATGGAATCAAACTCATATCTTTGCATTTTGTCAGATTCAATCATTCAGTATGTTCAGAATCTCAGAATGGAGGAAATTGGACATTTTACACTGTTTTTTTGATAATTTTCCCATCTCATCAATTTTCTTAGTTGATCATATAAAAATTGCAGTAAACTGTGTATTTTGTTTTATGTTAAAAAAGTGTTAAAAATGGAAATAAACCCATGTTAGAACAGTGCTGTGTTGTTTACATTTTGGCATTTTCAAGGTGTGACTTTGAAGTTCCATTGGCCTGAAGACCTTTGCTGGTCATGTTTTCTGAATGTCCAGGTTACCAATATTTTATTATTAATAATTGATGGTCATTATGCTGTTAAACATTATGTAACGTTGCATCAAAATTTGAAGAAACCCCTACTTTGGGCACTGCTCCCATGATGACCATTTAAGGAAAACCATGTCACTTACTGTTCTCAAACTTACAGGAAAGAAACATGGGACTAAAATACAGCTTCAGTAGGCAATGCAGTCTGTTTGATAAATTTTTCTGGCAATTAAAGTTTTTTGTGAAAATTTAATTTTTCACATATTGGCATTTTCAAGGTGTGACTTAGAACCTCCATGGGCTTGAAGACCCATGCTAATCACATTTTCTGAAAATCCATGATACGTTTATTTTATTATTAAAAATTGATGGTCATCATGCTGTTAAGCATTATGTAATGTTGCATCAATATAGAAGAAAACACAATTTTGGGTGCTGCTGCCATGATGACCATTATGGGGAAACCATGTTACTTATGCCTGTCAAACTTTCAAAAAAGAAACACAGGACTTAAATGCGGCCTGAGCTGGAAAAACAGTCTAATTGGCTTCTTTTCCTGGAAGTTATACATTTTAGTGAAATATTCATTATTATCGTTTGGCATATTCATTGTGGGACTCGGAGCTCCCATGGACATGAAGCTGAATGGTAATCAAGTTTTTTACATTTCCATGCTATTTATAGTCAATTATAAGAAATTGGTGATAATAATTCTGTTATTTATTATGTAATGTTACATCAAAATTGACAAAAATCTTTTTGCACTGCTACTACAAATATTATGAAAAGAAAACTGTGTTACTTATAATTATTTTTACCTTATAAGTATGATTTTTAGGATTGGCATGCAGTTCAAATTAGAAAGCCAGCTCAATTGGGTTATCATTTATTATTGAATTTATGCAGTTTTGTGTGAAATGTTCATTTTTCTCATTCTGGCATTTTCAAAGCGTGAACTTGAACTCCCATTGGGCTGAAGNACAAGTATGATTTTTAGGATTGGCATGCAGTTCAAATTAGAAAGCCAGCTCAATTGGGTTATCATTTATTATTGAATTTATGCAGTTTTGTGTGAAATTTTCATTTTTCTCATTCTGGCACTTTCAAAGTGTGAACTTGAACTCCCAATGGCCTGAAGCCTTATGCTTGTTACACATTTTTTAGTATTTTAGAAGGTGAACAGTGCCATTTGGTATGGTTTATCACTATACTGTAGTGAATTAGCTAGTCAAAATTCCAATTCCAAGTGGGGAATATTAGTGTGTTTTTTTTTTACATCAGTTCTTTGAAATCATGTGTGATTATGTTATTTCTTCTTGTGGCCTTTATGATTTAATGCAGCTACAGATATTTAAATTTAATTTTTTTTTTTTGCCATATTATAATCAGACTTGCTTCTTTATTAAAAGCTGGTTATCATGTAGTGATCATGCCCTCTAATTTGTTGATTTTTGTTAAAGAATAGTGATGTTATGATAATATCAATACATTTTTTCTTCATAACCATTTTATGTAATTTTACTATTACAGTGCCTCAAGTTATATCTAGAAAACTCATACCAGGAAGCACTCCAATCTTTCAATACTGCATCACTTCAATGTCGGCGTGACAAAAGACTGCTGTGTGTAAAAGACTGCTACAAAAAATTTGCATTGATGACCACATGATCCACCACCTTTTACCAAAACCAAGTGAACAGTTTTATATTATAATGCCCATGTACATGTATTTCAATTGGCAAGACTGAGATCAGCAAGAGCCTCAAGGACTTTATTTTCTAGGCATTGTCAACTCTTCAATAATTTTATAATTTTACCAAATACATCCAAAGATTCAAGTCTAATGCAAATCTTGAAAACTTTTTTAGAATATCTTTTAATGTCGAACATGTTTTTCTAAGAACTAGCCCTTTAGTAAATCAACAATATGTACTGTTATTATTAATTAACATATTGTTTTGTACAAAGCATAAGCTGCAGTATCAATGAAGCATTAACTGGGTAGAGATTATGAATGAAATAAAAGTTTAAATATTGAAACATCTTTTATTTTTATTTGGCAAAAATACAAGAATAAACAAAGTTTGCTACATAAGTTTGGAATTCGGCCAAATCATCTTTATTATTACCTGTCACGTGTAATGAATAAGACATATGCAGATTTTGTAAGTTAGAATGCATAATTATTTTCATACTTATTAATGCTCTCTTCATAAATAAGCCTTCCATTCAAGCATTCACAAACTTTCACATTGTGCAGTACACATTATAGTACGGTAACATTTTTGAAAGAGACTTATTAACAGCCGGGCTATCAAGTTAAGAGTCTGATGTACATGTACATGCAGACCCATGAGCATTGCAGATCAACAAATTATCCCCCTCTCTGTCAGTGTATTGACTCATGTGAGCTGATACAAAAGTCTCCATGCAAAGGGATGTGTCATAAGAAGGGACTAACCCGACTTACACAAACATAAATTGTTTCATTGGTAAGATATTCACACATACTTTTCCAAGACGTGCAGGGAATAAATAGAAAGGTATAAATATTTCTTTAAAAATACAGGCATGGCTTCCCTGCATGAATTCTAAATGATGGCTGAGTGGAGAATTGAATACGGGCACAAGTGTTCACTCAAATCATTTTTGTAGGTCTTAAAAGAAATGACATACAGCCATTTGCCAAATACAGAATTTTATGCTGTAACAAAGTCACAAAACTCTGCAACTGGTGATCTTACAAAATCTGACAACACACTGGTTTAAAATCAAGTTGAAGTCACAATATGCCACCATTGCCATATTCCATAAACATTTGATGCCATTTAGATTTAAAAAGTAAATACTGGACCAAAATGGTTTCTTCTCAATATCAGGCATGACTTAGGTTTGGGAGGAAAGACCGACTTGACTTCCAATCTGTCTGCATTGTAGCATACATGCCAGTGCTAGATGGTTTGAAGTCAACAGATTATGCTTTGTCACTGTGGCAAGATGAGTTCACTGAATATATCCTGTAAGCAGCACTCGAAAGTCAGGAAAAGTCTCTCACTATCCAACTCATCCCCACTTTAGACCCTCAAGAAAAGTTCCTAGTCTTTTGGTGGAGAGCCATGGAGTTCCTCTTCCATGTAAAAAAACTCTTCTTCAGGACATCATACTGGCAGTTGCTCATAATCTTAAGGTCTAAAAAAGCAAATCAAAATTTACATTATGTGTCGCCAATATGGAAAAATAATTGATAAAAGAGAAATCATGCACCTATAATGCCTAATATAAGATGAGTGAATATCAGCTTATTAAAATTCTGCTTACTCTAAAGACATGTTTTAGTCCCATGTTGGATCATCAGGATCCTTTAATTCCCTCTTCTTCAGCATCTTCCTCCTCTTCCATCTGCACTTCTTCCAGTTCAGGCATCCCATAGGAAAAAGTTACCTTGATACTGCAACCAAAAAAAAAAGCAACAGTACATAAAATTAAGATTGGTTTAATCTCCGAAATACTGGTTGGACGCTAATGTAAAAAATTGTATGATCTAAATTATTACTCTGGACTATTTAATACATTTTAGTGATATACCAAACATAAACATGCAATATCCCCTTTCTGATTTATTTATCTATTTTTAATGTAAAAAGGAGACAAATTGTGTTTAGAATATAAAATCAAAATACATCTCAAAGATATTTTCAATTATAGTTGACATGGCATTTAAAATTGAGTTAAACTTAGATACAATAACAGCTTAGATCTGCACATTTATTTTGGGATTTAGATGCCTAAAGAAATAGCATCTTGGTCATCTTAATCACTGTGTTTTGTATGCCTAGATGTTAGGGCACAAGATATGTGCCCTCGGTAAGTCAACAATTCGCCTCGGTCATTGTAATGTACATGTAATGAGACTAGTATCTTCCACCATGTCCATTTCTATTTAAACTTTCTTTGCTCTATAAACTATCCCAAACTCTGTCAGAGTCGACATATGAGTCATCGATACCACTCATATTAGTTACAATTTCATGGCATATTTTGACAGACGAGCCTGACAATCATTAAGAAATACAACGAACACACGTTAATAAACATTAATCTCTGTGCTTAATAAATATTTTCACTGGTGTCTTATCTCAAACATTATTGTAAATGGTACTCACAAATCCATTAAATACTTCGCGGCCAAGCGATCCTTCCTATCCATGGCCACCCAAGCAGGTTTTCATCTGTCCTTTTAAGAACTCGGCAAAAGTTGATGAAATAATGTTAAGAGTTTTACAAGTAAACCCTTCTTATTTCATACCGTATACGATTTATTTGGGCATTTTGTGACGGGGGCTTTTACGGATGATAAAAGCGCGTCACTGTATAGTTATGAACAACTCCCTTTTTCCTGTGAAAGGAATTTTATTTTGCTCATACAGACTACATCGAGTTGAAGATGTGACCACGATGTCTCTCCCTCAGTTTCTCCTTCCTATGGCTCGGATACGCTTCTTTTTTCGACTCGCCGAACACACCGAATGCGGCAAAAATGCTGCATTTTTATAATAAAATTATATTACGTTCACATCTCACGTCATGGATGGGAATTTTGATTCAACATTTACTTAATTATTAGAAATAATGATTCTCGACCTTCAACTTAAATATTGTGATTTGCCCGGTTCTTTGATTATTAATATTTAATTTTGACTGAACCGGAACTGGTCATTTTCCTGGATTCATCGAAGTGTCTCTTAAACATTCATGCATTATACCTTAATTGACGGAGGTGGTGTGTGTGTGTGTGTGTGTGTGTGTGTGTGTGTGTTTTCTGGGATTAATCGCTATGAAAAAAAATATAATCTTAGGTTCCTGTCAGAAGCCTTCGTAATCAAAACTAAATGAATGTAACATGAAAATAACAAAACATCTAGTGAAATCATAAATTTCTGTCAGATAACGCATTAGTAGGCCTAATGTAAATTACCTGAGAATTGCGTAAAAACGATCAAGTAGGATAATAAATTGCTGAAAGGATTAATATGCGTACTGTCGTTTAAAAAAATTGCATTTTATGTACTGAGTAGTATACCAACCATTTTGAGCAATAGTGTACCTGTAATGGATCTATCGGTATTTGGATCTAAAAATACGGGGATCTATAGGTATGCGGATTTAAAGGACGTGGGTTTATGAGGACGTCGTATCTATAGGAACGCAAATATATAGGACGGTGGTAAAAAATCGGATCTATCGGTATTTAAATTTAAAAAGACGTTTTTCAGTTTTTCCTTTATGTATCTATCGGTAACGGGAGTATAGGGACGTGTAATATTTTGGGACTAAATTTTATCCGTACGTACCCTCTAAAACGAACATAAGGAGGAAACAGAGAGAAAAAATTACCCTAACAATAACAGTCAAAATATTTAAAAGTAAAAAGATTTCAGAGTTAAAAATCTTGTCGGCCAGTGGCGGATTTAGAGGGGGGGTCAGGGGGTCCACATACAAAGATATCTATAAATTTTTATTTCGATGCCAGTTTCATAGTCGCACAAAGGATGCAGAAAGGACGCCTTCCATTGTTAAGGGGTTTTAACTGAATATACGTAGATCAGCGGATGGGTAGCCTTTGGAATCTCCACTACAAAGACAAATGTGTACCTCAGCAAGATGGGACTGGAGTGCACAGAGTTGGATTTATCTTTATCTGAGTGCTGGTATAGTAATGAAAGACCGAGTCCTTCTAAATAAACACTGACATCTAAAACAGTACGGAATATCTATACACTTAATTTACAAAGAATTGATGTTCAAAGGTTCATTTACAAATAACGAAACTGAATGTATTTCTAAATTTAAAATAAAACAAAAAAATTTTAAAAATGGAGTAAACGTTATACCCGTCAAAAGTGAGAATTGGGTAAGGCTTCCACTTTTTGAATATGAATAAGCTTTAATTTTTTTCGTGTAAAGCTCTCTTTTGGCAGAACAATAAGTCTTCATACTATCTTATTTGATGTAAAAGTTTCATATCGATAGCTGAATAAACATTATGTTAATTCTTAATTCTATGTTAAACTCTAAGTCACCTCTGTACCAGTCACCAGTTCGAAGATACCGTCTCATGTGGAAAGAGATGTGACGATTATTTCCCTTTATAGCCGAAATCGAATGAAATGTCCCATCATGGCATATCTACCTCGGCTTCGGGCTGATCACTTGATCAACATTCCATGTTGCCATCTTAAGCTACATTTCCACACGTGAGCGCCACTGTCAAGTCTTCCACAGGTATATCCAGCGCCATCTTCACCCCCAGCATCAGGTGCGCCCCAGTGAGCAAGCCGTCTGGCATGCCCCCTGAAGTAAGACCATGGCCGTCAGTAAGAGATGTTGCACTTGAGTGTCGTCTGTAGTCGTAGCATTAGTATTCCTTTAAGTGGTCGCCACGGGACTGTGATCGTCCATCTCTTTCAGAAAGGATTGCTGTAAAATATGCCCACGTTCACAGATACTAGTATGTGTAGTAGACTAAACAAAACTTGAAGAAATCGACGTAATTTGAAACCTACTGACGATATTTCAGTGGTTATTATGTAACAAAACTGGATTTTAATTTGAACTACACTGTACACTGTATATCAACGGGTGGTGCGTGTGTAACTTATTGTTTGGTACATTGTAGTAGATATCCTAATACGAGCTTCTTTTATGTAGTTCGATATTGAGACATGATTTCTATCTAAAACGACTATATCTGAAACGCAAAATGTAATTTATCCACGTTTAACAACCTACACACGAACAAATAAAAAGACAGAAAATCAAATGGTATTGAACAAGTAGGGTGGGGATTACTGCCTCTACAATGCTAAGAAAAAGAGAGATCTACAGTAAAGGACATTGGTGTAATATCAGCAAGTCAGTACTCTAATATGATCACTCAATAAGCACTATCTGTTCTCTACTTGACCTAACTGATTTGATTTTATGATTTCCTTTGTTATTAATGTAATCCAAATTGTATTTAGTTGTGTTGTACAACATTGGTCAAAAAGGTTGTCCCACCCCTATTTCCATGTACTTTTATTTACAAATGATCACCTCACAGCTGTAAATTGTCAGAAATAGTGATTTTTATTTCTGATACCGTGTCTAACATGATTAATGGTTAAAAAAATACAAAATAGTGTTGAAAATACAGTATACACATTTTATACCATTTAGTAAAATTTATAAGAGGTACCCCCTCAAAACCACTTTTTCACTATGACTTCTACAGATGTAAAGAAAAGTCTATTAAATTGAAAAGATGCCATCAAATGTCACCAAATTTACACACAGTTAGCATTAGGGTGTGCTCGTTAAAGGTCATGTGCCTAACAGCATGTGCGTCTACCGCGTACTGCAATTATCTCCTGTAGACGGCGCGACAAGCCTTCAACACAGGCAACAATTCTGTAATGTGGGATATTTAATTATTTCTTTTAACTTTTGTGTTCCAATACTGAAATCTTTGAAGTTATTATATATATATATATATATATATATATATATATATATATATATATATATATATATATATATATATATATGATAAAAAGAAATAAAGAACAGCAGTTATTTTGCCCTGACCAGTTTCATTGCATCTTCAGGGGGTTTGTTTATTTTGGTTGCTAAGTGATGTCATAAAGACTCAATGTGATGTCTCTGACAATGGGTATTAGTCCATGGGCCAAATACTGAAACCCTCCCCCCCCCTTAGTGATTTTCGTTCACTATGTTTTTTTAATAGCTTAGGTCCTAAGCTTAAATTTTCTGCTTGTTTGCCATTAAACTGGTGGTGGGTGTGTGTGCTACAGCCATTGAAAGTTTTGGCATGTTTGACCTTGAAATAAAGGTCAAAGGAAAAATCCAAGGGCATATTTGAAATCTCCACATATGACTTTCGGTCAGCCATCTGTAGAAAATTTTCCCATAATTCCTTCGATATGGGAGATATTTAGCATTGAATTTTCAAAAATTTTGACAAGGTACATTTCAACGAGTGTCACGCCCAGGCCAATGCACCAACTGAGACAAAAAAAACCAGGAGGTTCAAGCTGAGATTACATGTGACCTAAATCCAAGAGATGGGGACACAGGTCCTTGCGGTCTAGGAGGAGAAGTGGTAACGGTGACTTGTATCCCACACCATCCTGCGGAGCCACAAGAGCCGAGATTTAATGACTGTACCCCCACAGGGACGACGCATGGGGAGGCGTGTGAGAGGCAGGGAGACTATTAAAAGATTAGGCGGTTTTCCTTTCATGTATGTCCGCCATATTTAGTTCGTGATTTTGTAGAGCAATGGCTCAACTCGATGTGAATGCAGTCTTTGACATCAATAGATGTTTCAAAGTCTTGATACGAGTTGAATTACCAAAGATATCCTATTTAATAAAATTACCACTTCAACAATACCCCTATCATGACAAATACACTAGTAGTTTGATAATGGAGCTTGTTTTATGAAATCCCAGGCACATTCCATCAAGCAAAGCTTGGATATAATGAATAAATGCAATCTTTCATGGGTTGGAGGTTATAATTAGCTTTCAGACTGGTCTCAATCTTACTTTGAGGAAACTTATACCTCCTAAAGTGTTATACCTCCTACTTAAAGTGTTATACCTCCTCAAATAACTATCAGACAATAAAGTACTGTAATGAGATTGCGTTCATCTTCATCCTTAACCCCCAATTTTTTCTTGCAATAATGGATTACCCAAGGGGTTCTGTTAGATGACAATTCATACCAAAATGATTAAACTACATTGTACATGAAGAAAATCCAGAATCAACATGCATAAATAAAAATATTTCCTCAATCAAGAGAACTCAAAGCAGAATGCCCTATACCTTAATCATTTTACTGATGTTTCATAAAGTGTCCCCAAGGAATTACTCAAGGGCTTCTGCTAGAAGGCAATTCATACCAAAATGATCAAACTTGCTTTTTAACTGTCCAATCATCTGGTTATAACAAAATCTGGTGCATACATCCTGTTCAAGTTCTAGACAGTGAGCTGCAAGTAAGTGTTTGTACAATGAAATCACCTCGGACTGGTATTTTTGCATCTGGACAAATGGCATACTGTGGCCATACACCACTGGTGACTCCACTTTTTCTTGTAAATATTTGATTAAGCAGTGTCTTGTTTGATGCAAAACAGTTTCAAACTCTGCCTTATCATCACCTTTATTCATAGAGTTATCTTGTTCATGTCCCAATGCCTCACCAGTTGTAATGGGTGGTTTCCCACTTGTTTCTCTAGGTGGAGCTGTTGAGACAGATTGAATACCACACATCTCTGACAAAAGCTGCTTGGTAGCCTGTCCTTTAATTTTGTTAGCAGTAGCATATCTGCTATCCATATGGCGGAAATCAGGATTCCTAACCTGAAATACATTCTCCAGTGAGAGGACCTCAGATCTTTTTGTAGTGTTGATAAAATCATCATCAGCCATAGAGGAAGCTGGGGACTCGCCCTCATCTGATGACCAATCTGGGAGACTTTCTTTTGTGAGCACACTACTTTGATTTAAATTTCTAATTTGCTGTTCATCTACGCATGTGTTTTGCTCAGTTTGCATAATAAAAGACTTTTCATCCAATTCTTCATTAGTTCTCATCATGTTTGGACTTGCATGTAAACTTTTCATGCCACTTCCTCTGTTCATGTAATGGAGCAATTTTTGTAGATGTTTGGCTAAAAGCTGAGCAAAAGCCACCTCTTCTTGATAGGTATTTATCTCTCCCTTGTCAAATACACACTCTTCCATCTGAAAAAAAAATATGCAAAATTACAATTTAAATGGTTTGGCATTTGAAAGCAAAACTGACAAAGCTTTCAATGTCAAAAGAAAGAAAAATGTGTAGCTTTCGCAAAACAATGCTTAATTGTACACATCCTAATGAAGCTCTGAAACAAAGCTGACATATAGACAGAACCTCTATGACAGTTTTCATTTTCTTATATATTTGTTAGAACTGTATACCATTTTTTTTTTACTTATTTTGATTCAAATTACACCATTCTGATGAGTGTAACCCCCACAGATTTTCTATTATGTGCTCATGTTACTGTTGATGAATATGTATAAGAATTCGAAGTCACACCTTGAAAATGCCAATATGTGAAAAATTAACATTTCACAAAAATACTGCAAAACTGACAGAAAAATAATATACTTTTAGTCCTGTGTTCTTTCCTTTTAGTTTGAGAATCATAAGTAAAATGTTTTTCTTTCAATGGCGACTACGGAGGCAATGCCCGAAATTTGGCTTTCTGCCAAGTTTGATGCAATATTACAGAATGCTTAACAGCATAATTACCACCAAATTTTAACTAGAGGATCAGAGAGGCGATACCGCCTCCGAATATTGTACCAGCAGCTGGAGCAAGCGCATTCATNTTATCTTGTTCATGTCCCAATGCCTTACCAGTTGTAATGGGTGGTTTCCCACTTGTTTCTCTAGGTGGAGCTGTTGAGACAGATTGAATACCACACATCTCTGACAAAAGCTGCTTGGTAGCCTGTCCTTTAATTTTGTTAGCAGTAGCATATCTGCTATCCATATGGCGGAAATCAGGATTCCTAACCTGAAATACATTCTCCAGTGAGAGGACCTCAGATCTTTTTGTAGTGTTGATAAAATCATCATCAGCCATAGCGGAAGCTGGGGACTCGCCCTCATCTGATGACCAATCTGGGAGACTTTCTTTTGTGAGCACACTACTTTGATTTAAATTTCTAATTTGCTGTTCATCTACGCATGTGTTTTGCTCAGTTTGCATAATAAAAGACTTTTTATCCAATTCTTCATTAGTTCTGATCATGTTTGGACTTGCATGTAAACTTTTCATGCCACTTCCTCTGTTCATGTAATGGAGCAATTTTTGTAGATGTTTGGCTAAAAGCTGAGCAAAAGCCACCTCTTCTTGATAGGTATTTATCTCTCCCTTGTCAAATACACACTCTTCCATCTGAAAAAAAATACGCAAAATTACAATTTAAATGGTTTGGCATTTGAAAGCAAAACTGAGAAAGCTTTCAATGTCAAAAGAAAGAAAAATGTGTAGCTTCCGCAAAACAATGCTTAATTGTACACATCCTAATGAAGCTCTGAAACAAAGCTGACATATAGACAGAACCTCTATGACAGTTTTCATTTTCTTACATATTTGTTAGAACTGTACACCATTTTTTTACTAATTTTGATTCAAAATACACCATTCTGATGAGTGTAACCCCCACAGATTTTCTATTATGTGCTCATGTTACTGTTGATGAATATGTATAAGAATTCGAAGTCACACCTTGAAAATGCCAATATGTGAGAAATTAACATTTCACAAAAATACTGCAAAACTGACAGAAAAATAATATACTTTTAGTCCTGTGTTCTTTCCTTTTAGTTTGAGAATCATAAGTAAAATGTTTTTCTTTCAATGGCGACTACGGAGGCAATGCCCGAAATTTGGCTTTCTGCCAAGTTTGATGCAATAATACAGAATGCTTAACAGCATAATTACCACCAAATTTTAATTATGCACTGCAGGTTACATAGGCCTATAGTCCCATGGAAGTTCAAAATTACATCTTGAAAATGCCAACATGTAAACAAGAGACAGCTAGCTGTACTGAAATGATTTCATTTTCAACACTTTATCATATAAAATACAGTAATTAATTTACTATCATTTTATATGATAAACTAACAAAATAGTTGAGGTGGGGAAAACATCAAAAGAACCATTTAAATGTCCAATTTGCTCCACTCTGAGATTCTGAACATAGTGAAGGATTGAATCTGACAAACTGCACTGATATGAGTTTAGTTTCTTTATTACACAATACAAGATAACAGATTTAACATAATTTTTTTATTATCAACTAACAAAATTGTTAAGATGCAGAAAATTTCAAAAGAACACTTTTACATATCTAATTAGTTCAATACTGAGACTGTTAACATGAATTGAATCTGTGGAAAAACCACTTATATACAAACAAACAGCATAACTTTAAAAAAATAAACAATCAACCTAATATTCAAAGTTGACATGTATATTAGTCTTAAGAATCAGTCCTGTAAATTTCAAAGCAAAGCACAAAATGGTTTTGTTTCTGTTTGTATAATGATGGATAATGTATGCAGAAAAAAAACAACATAACTTTTGGAAAAATATTCCGATCAAGCTGATTTTTTTAACTTGTCCTGTAAGTTAATGAATATCCATCAGTACTGTAAACTTGAAAACAAAAGATAAAAAGGTTTTCATTTTATTAGAATAACAGTGGATAAAATATGCTGAAAAAAGCCAAAGAACACCATTATTTTTGGAAAAATGGTCTGTTCAAGCTGATTTTCTAACTCAACCTGTATTTTATGAATATTCATCAGTTCTTAAGTTTGAAGACAAAAGATCAAACAGTTTTCCACCAATCTAATAACACTGAAAATACACGGCAACCAGTATGATCATCATTAATCTTTGCTTATATGTACCCTTTCCCTTTGGGAATAGCATTTAAAACCACCACTAGAGGGATACTTAGGCTGCAGGCTCAGGGATTGGTCAGCTAGCTCACGTGGCGCATTCAAAATAACTGGCAGTTAGAGCCTGGCAGTCGTTAAAGCTGGACAGCGTGTAAGGGTGCTTGAGCCCATTTTGCTTCAATTAGAATCGGCTTAAGCATAAGCGTCGAAGATTTTCCCACCCTCCTGTCCCTAATATGGGCAGAAGGCGCCTCGTACATTGGCATTACACAATCTGCTACATGATCTTCACTTAGTATCGGGTATTTTGAACAACTGCGCTTAGTAAATGGGAATTTAGTAATATTGCTACCTGTATCTGAAGTGTTGCAATTCATTAACATACGTGTTGATGTACTTTGCTGAGTAGTTACCGTTTATTGTAGTTATAACTTTTATGTGACCTTTTATGTAGTTTTAATAAAATTTTCAAGCCCAATGGTGGTTCTGGTTTTAAACTAAAGATATCATGTACATTAAGAACATGTAAGTAGCAATGCTGCTTCAGTTCAAAACCCCACCTTAAAAATGCCAATACGTGAAAAAATGTATAATTCACTAAAAATTGCATAAAGAAAATAATCTTTTCGGGCTGCTTTTCAAAATAAAACTGTATTATAATTCTAAGAATTATTCTTGGAAGTTTGAGAGTAGTAAGTAATAGGGTTTTCCTTAATGCTAAAAGTTGCAGTGCAGAAAATAGGACTATGGGTTCATCCCTTATGACACTATCTAGTCTAATTGTTCTAGGCAGATCATTCCAACTCTGCAGGGCCTCTTGGTGAATGTAAACAAAGTAACAAATTTTCCATTTCTTGTGTTTATGATGAAGAGCACAAAATAGTTTATTTTTGGCAAATTTTGATGCAATATTACATAAAGCACTACTAAAATACTACAGTTACTATGAATTGTGCAATTTATAAATTTAGAAAAAGAACTGTAACAGGTTTTCAGATCCATGGGAGTTCAATGTCAAATGGAGAAAATGTCAATTCGTGAAAAGTGTGAACTTAAGTAACCTGCATTTTTTTTTTACAAAACAAAGCCACTTAGAAAATTAAAAGTAAATATTACATAAAGCACTACCAATATACTACTGTTACCATGTATATTTAGAAAATGTGACTGTAACAGGTTTTAAGACACATGGGAATTCAAGGTCACATGGAGAAAATGCCAATTTGTGAAAAGTAACCTGCCTTTTTTTACGAAACAAAGCCACTTAGATAATTACAGGTAAACGAAAAATTTAATATGGTTTGGCAATAATATGGTGAATAAAAAGCCAGCAAAGCTGTTGAATGTACAGATAAAAAGCAGAAGATAATGATCACAGGGCAGAAAATAATATTGCACAATACCTAACAGCATAAATCAATTTTTATTCGTCATAATTTATATCTATTAAAAAGATATCTCTTTTTTTTTACAAGACCATTGATACAATTATTTATTTATTTAAATACTAGCAGTATATACTAATCCCTACAAATAGGTGGTCACATTTTGGTTGTGAAAAAAAAAACATGAATGCTTTCATGAATCACTTTCAAATACCTTTAAATTAAAAAGTGCATCAAAAGTCAAGACCTCAAAATATGTGTTTACTAAGCATACTGACGTACCTCCACCTTCTCTTCACTGAGCAACCATGTTGCCAGTAATGTAAAGCACTCCACAGGATGTGTTTGGTGATGAAGTTCTACCATGGTCTTCATGCAGATATCTATAGCCATAGAAGGCTGCAGGCATTGGTTTTTCTTTTCAGATTCTAAATAATAATAATAATGATAATAATTAAAACTTTTAATCACAATTAAATGCTTTCAATATTTGCAAACCAAGTAAGTAAGTTAATTAGAGCTTAAAGGAGCTCTCTATAGGAATTACAATGAATACATGTATGACTGTGGGGAATATTCAACACATGGAGAGTTCCATTAAGAACAAATCTGAAATAATGCTACTTCTGTGAATAAAGAACCTTGGTCTATTTCACTTTTTCATTTGTCTTTGTAATTAAAAATCACCAATTAATGTTTGATGCATACATAAACCAATGCAATGGGTCTAAAATGTTTGTAAAACTATAAACTGTCTTTACCTTCTTCACAATCAAAATTGTTCAAGTGATCCACAGCCCTGGCAGTGATATCTTTTACTAACATATCTTCATCTTGGAGAAGTATGATGACCGATTCCCATAAATGAAGTACATGGTGCTCTACAAGGTAACAAGGTAATTTGAACTGAAATGAACTATGGTACCTCTCTCTCTGGAACCATTCCCATACCCTGTTGTATTACCAGGATCGATCTATGTCTGAGGTGTTTCTCGCTAAATTGCATTTAAGTTAATTATCCCCCTAGCACCCTAGCAGCTTCAGTGGCCATGACAGACATTTAAGCCACTTAAACTGAATGCAACTTAGTGAGAGTCCTCTTGGAGTTGGATCGATCCTGCTAGTACAATAGGATTATGGGAACCCAGTCTCTCTCTCTCTCTCTCTCTCTCTCTCTCTCTCTCTCTCTCTGTATGTGTTGATGTGTGTGTGTGTGCATGACAGTGTTTATTTCAAGTGCAATGACAATCTACCTAAAACACGATTCTCATCCCTCAAAATACTTGTCATCTCTGGTTGAGCCAGGACCATAGCACAGGCCTCTCTCACAGAAACATTCTGTTCTGAATCACAGCTGGCCTTGATAATGCTGAGGGAATCTATAAGCAGATCCTCTTCAAACTGGTCCTGCAATCATTACAAAAAATTTAGATAAGATAGATTTTGTAGCTTGATTGTAGTAATAATTATTACTGGCAAAGTTATTTTGATCTTAATGAAATATCACAGCAGTGTGTAGTACAATGTACAAATGTAGTATTTCACATGGAATGATCTAGGCCCCATTCCCATAGACACATAGGTCTACTTGGATCGACCCAACCCTGCAGGGGTTCTTGCCAATTGCAATCAGCTTGATAGATTAACATGCCACATCCTCTTGCCAATAAGTAGAACATAGAAAACACTGTGCCGACCAGGATTCCACGGGCATTTTGTCTTTGTGCATACATGATTTACAGCCACCTTTACTTTAAACAGAGCCTGAATCCTTAGGAAATTAAACTGATGTCCACCTAGTCCACTTTAACATTCAGGTACACAATCATACTGAGGCCTGTTTAGTATGAAAAGTACCAACAGCCCCACGTGTAAGTTTTCAAAATGTCGACTATTGCCAGCATAGGACTGAATTGGCACCAGTGCCACCTGGTGCCAAGCAGGCTGGTAAACCCCATTAAAAAGTTAAATTAAAAGATGTTTTAATATTTGCCAAAAATGTACTCTTTACCTGCTCCAGCTGGTTGTACAGCAATGGCAGAATGACTCCTATCAGTCTGCAAGCTGCACTTCTCACCTCATCCCTGGAAAACAACAAAAACTAGACATCAAAACAGGTGACCAATATCAGTTTAACACATACTGTACAGGGTACATGTTAGCATCAGTGCCTGCGGAAAAGGGGATTATCTCACAAATTCAATAATAACAACTGATTTCCTCAACAAAACCTAATATTGACATTTACATTTTTGAAAGCAAATACTTACAGCTGCATTTCTACGACTGCTAACTATAGGAATGATAGTAATTTATGTATACAAAAACATGTAGTCCCTTCAATATGTTTTTTTTAAAAGTCCAATAAATTTTTTCATTTTATTGTGTATATTTTTTTCTTTTTCTTCAAGTATTTTTTATTGAAAATCTAACACAGTAGTTTCATATTATTTTCCCCTAATCATCTGCAAATGTCAGGGAGATAATTGTAGTTAAGAATTTTAGTTTTTACATGCAGTAAGCGACATCTTGTCTGGTGCTAAGCAATCTCAGAAAGGTCAGCGCATTTGGCGCGGAAAAAAAAGGGGAGAAAACATTGAATTTTGTATGAGATGGCTTGTGGTTCTAATCCAGTGGTGAAACAGCGAATATACACAACGTTCTGGTACAAACAGAAGAAAGATTAAAATGTTTAGAAGCCTCAGAGGTCTCCACAACTGCAGGCATTGAGCAACCACCTGGGTTTGCGTCACTGGACCGAGGCCCACCAGTATATTCAACGGTGCTCTTGGTGAGGAGCTACAGGGAAAGTTCCTGACATTAAAGGACTCCCTATAGAAGGTACGTCTTCCAGACGAACTAAAATTAAAAGAAACCCAACAAGGGATAAAGAAATCATAACTCACAGCTTATAACATCATAGCTAAAAGCGCTCGTCTGTGGAAACAACAATGAAACTCCTAGCATCCATGGACTCACCGGAGGAAACAAGGAGCCTCACTTCAACAGAAGAAGAATTGGGGAATATTCTAATGATTCAGTCGCTCACGTGAAATATCTGCAGGAAGAATATGCCACTCTGCTGGTGCAAAGCCAATGACCAGATGGCATTGCTAAGTGGTTTCGAAATTTAGGAAAAAATACATCTACCTTCACACCCGAGGTATGTGATAGACTCAAAATGGCAGTTGAAATAAATAAAGCTACCGACTCCAGAGACAATTACCAGTACAAACAGCGTGGTATTGGAAGAGGCTACCCTTACCGTGGCGGTAGAGGCAGGGCAATTACTATAACAGATTTGTAAAACCTGTCAATCAAGCAAATGACCAGTCTGACCTGGATTATGCACAGTAGCCCCAGGTGACTAGAATGACTTCACTTTCCGAGAATATTGATTATTGGATTAAGACTGGTGCATCTGACTTTTTACAGTCAATCATACTTGAAGGCCTTAAGATAAAATTTCAAGGTACCCCAGAACAATATGAGTTGCCAAATAGGCCAATAACTGAACAAGCACATGTCTTTTTAACTACAGAAATCAGTTCACTATTTAAATTGGGGTATGTGTCTCTATGTGATGAAAAACCACACTGCGTATCTCCTATATACTGTATACCTAAAAAGAAAGGAAAATGTAGACTTGCACAAACTCATTGAGTCGTACAAGCCTCCAAAGTTTGTCATCGAGGATATTAATATTGTCAAGAACATTATACAGGCTAATGATGAGTTGGTAACTCTGGACATTAAAGATGTTTTTTTCATGTACCAATCCATAAAGATTTTAGACAGATGTCATTCAGGAACACAAAAACATTGTGACATTTAAGTATTACAAAACTTCGGTTGGAAAATTAATTGGGACAAGTGTTCATTACAGCCCTGTTATTCAGTGGAATATATAGGATATCGAATAATTACAAAGATGAAAGAGGGGGTTCCTATTATAAAAGTTCCCTGCACCCGTACAAGAAATCTCCGTCGACTTATAAAGCATGCAGTAGAGACACAACATCTAACTGCACGTAGATTTGCAAAGATTGCAGGTACCTGTGTTGCTATGACTAAAGCAATCTTACCTGGTAAACTATTGGTAAGAAATACTTATCATCTACTAGCCACACAGGAAGGCTGGGATGATGTACTCATGTTAGATAAGGGAACAGTTAAAGATTTACTATGGTGGAAGGAAGCAACACTTTCCTGGAACAGTGCTCCCAAATCCTTAACTTAGCTTCGCTCCCTCATAACAACCACCCTTGACAATTAACATTGGCATGGCTTAGAAGTGAGTCTGCCGGCAGTACATGCAGGATGAAAAACTCATCAAAAGACACATATTTTGGTCTAGACTCAAAAGTATTATTTCATGCCATGTGAAATATATGTTTTTGATTATCATAAACATACAAAACCCTCAAAACATGGTTTTAGCCCAGTCTCCCACCACACCTCTTAACTGGATTGTTTTCAACTGAGAACAACAGTTCATTGAACACTGGCAACGTTCTTAATGAGAAAACCATCTGCAAACTTGATATAATACTCAACATTGTTTTCATTCTTTCTCGTAAATTAAATACATAAAATATATGATGCAAACACCAGCCAAATAATTTACAAGAGAAGTCAACCTACCTGGAGGAAGTCTTTTGGACTTTGATCAGGAGGTCTTGCACCTGCAAACAAAGGATATTGATTTTAGGCGTGTTTTAAAATAAATTAAAAAAAAAACACTAGAATATGAGTTATTACTGTACAACTGTATATGTAAGATTAGGGCTTTGTAATTTATTTTTTATCAATTTCGAGAAGAATCAACATTTTTTAAAATATAATAATAAAAAAAACTTTTAGATAAGTTAAATTAAATATGGGATTTAGCTACCTGACTGGACTGCCAAAGGCCACTGGAAAGTTTCCATGGGAATTGCTTGGCACAAGGATGGTGAACCAGAACTAAGAAAACCTGAATATTATTAAGACAAAAATGATCACTATATCCATAAAATTATCAAACAAATTTATCTCTTTAAGATCAAATGCAGTGGGATGTCAAAAATACATATATATGTACAGATGATACAGAAATCTTTATCATCGGAATAAACTACTTTTTCTGTCTTTCTCAAGCTCCAATTTTGCACAAAGTCTGAAGAATCCTATCCTTTCATTATCTTTTCTCTAACCATTTTGATTTGTGATGTCCCCAGCTATACTTATCTACCATCCAGATTGATATCATAAGATTAATGATCACCAAATTAATGTTGTTCTGCAAATTAACCAATAACATTCCTATTCGAGGGTCCACAATGTGCTCATCAGGTTTTATATTTTATTAGGTACCTTTTTGAATCCCTGTCAAACTAGCACTGTCTGGATGTTCAGTTTTAAAAATTTATTTATTAAGCAACCTGACTTTTAAGATGGCTCCATTAAAACAAATTACTACTGATTGCAGATTTAGTATAATAACTGTACAAATGAAAATATCAGGTAAAATATTTGCCTACATTTCCACTTTTGATTTTTCAATAATAGTGATGTGCTAGGATGTAGTCAAGTACCCTACCATGTTCCACTGAGAGAAAATACATTAACAAGAGCCACAAATAAAGTATTTCTGGTTGTATTTCTATTTTCCCTCAAAAATTGACAGCCATATTGAAAAATGCTCCTAAGTAGCAACCAAACTAACTTTTCTTTTCTAGCCCTAAGGGATGCATTTCTGTAATAAATGTTTACAGGAAAGAAGATTGCAGGGTGCAACTATTGGGCCTATGGGAGTGAGTAGATATTTGTCACTTTGTATTGAGTAATATCACCCACTTACGTTACTATGGCATCATTGTAGTCCTCATAGATATGAACAGTGCGTGCATGTTTCTTAAATTTATTAAAGATATAATTAGCGTAAGCATTGGTAGTGCACATTTTGGTGAAATCTGGATGTACATAAAAATGCAGAGTCAGCATATTAAACAAAGCCACTTATCTGGTTACTGATAAATTTCAGAATGGCCTCCCTATCCAAAATTGGCAAATACCCGATGATCATTCATTGCAGAAAGTTTTTCATGCTTTTATCAAATTTTGCACAATGCTAGAAAATGTTTGGACTTAACTGCCAGCTGACTTTTAAGATCTTATTTTATCATTTTTCAAATTTCAACAGATCAACTAACACAGTGTATGTGCATACCTGAGCTAAACACCCTTGGTGGTGTTCCAATCCTGTTGCCATGGAAATCAACTTCTGAAAAAGCCTATTGCTTTCCTCCAATTTTGAGGATTTACTGACTGGGGTAGACATAAGCAAAGTCAAGTGCTGAAGAACAAGTAAACGAACTTCATAGAACGGAGACTCAAGAAAAAATGCAAGTAGGGTCCCATCATCTATGTTCAGGAGCTCTTTCAGTTTGTTCCACACTTCATCACAGTTAATACTCAAGTTGGCCATGGCAACATTAAACTCTACGGATCCAGGAGAGATGTAACCTGAGGGGTCTTGGCTTGAAAGCTCCGTGAACACAACCTTGGCGAGATGGTCCACCAAAATATGAAGCTTGTCCACCTCTGCTCTCTGGCTTGACTGTAGCATTGCTTGAGCAACATGAAAGTATGCTGCCCTTGTAACTGGACATCTATTCTCCCTAAAATAAAGTAATATCAATACTGAGTTTCAGATAACAAAATTAGTATTACCTTAAGGCCAGTTAGTGCAATAACAACCTGGCCTACAACAAACTTCATATATTTGCAAAATTAAATTTCTCCAGAAAAACATATTGGTACATGAGGGTCAAGCCATTTTTTATGTATCAATGTATTATTTTGGGTTGATAAAAATGTTTAAATCAACATATGACCTTTGATTAAAAGATTGAGTCATTCCTGTAATTCCTTACCTGAAGATAAGCCACTTTGCCTCCATAATCCCAGTCACTGTGACATCTAATGCTTCCTGCACAATGCTAGAAGGCAGGTTACTTAGTTCTTTCAGTAAATGTTCAACCTATTTGAAATATGATATTTGCACGTATATTAATTGTAGTTTACCATTTAGTATAATACAAAAAACTAAACTCAAAATCTTAAAGGACGTGGTACCCTTTAGCTACTGTGCAACTACTAAAGTGTACGAAAATAAAACAATACTTATTGTAGAAAAGAGAAGAGAAATAACCCTCCCTCCCTTTTTTACCAATAAACTATCACCTTCATATTTGAAAAATCAGTGCTGAGATTTATCATCTATCGTAATTTATCGATCTTTTCAATGGGTAAACAAGGCAGCAAAGTTGTCAAATGTACAGACAAAAAAAAAAAAAAAAAAAGAAAAATAAAGATGCAAAATAGGTCATTTTGTCAATTTTGATGCAATAATAAATAATGCTTATAATAGCACTGTCAGTCAACACTGAATTTTAATCATGCACAACAGGTAACATGGTCAATAACAGGAGCAGACCCAGAGATATTTTCTGACAGTATTCCAAAGTATCTATGTTGATCCATCCTCCATTTTGATGGTCTTCCAACAGAAAAAAAAAAATAGATACCGGTCAATATAAACTTAAAAACCTGACCGTCTTCCGGAAGACCCAGAAGATGGTCTCAATCCACTCCTTCAATAAGATTACAGTTTCAGGACCATGAGAGTTCAAATTCACATGATGAAAGTCCCAACATTTGAAAAATGATGTCAGTGCATAAAATAATATTACATAATGTTTAAAGACATAAAAACCAATACAACTGCTTATGTGGAAATACAGAAAATGTGCAGAGCCGCAGGTGGATGGGAGTTTAAAGTCACAAATGCCAGTGTTTGAGAAAAAATTAAAAAGGAAAACATAACAAAACTAGAAAAGCACCCCGAGAGCACAGACCTCTGCCAAGGCAGCAATTTTTTATTTTTATTGATTATTGATTGATTATTGATCCGAACCACCACCAAAAACTAATCATTGTCCTGCTTGACCCACTTCTGACAGTTCCTGAAAATTTCATCAAAATCAGTCCATAACTTTTTGAGTTATGTTGATGACAGACAAACAGGGGTGAAAACATAACCTCTTTGGCAGAGGTAAATATTATTCCAATGAAGCTGCTATTCAAACTTTTAATCGTTGAGTTTGATATATATATATATATATATATATATATATATATATTAAAAACTAATTTTCAATATTTAACAAAATTTACCTGCATAATTATCACTGCTTCCTTATTATAAATCTAGTAGAGAGCTTAACCTTTGGGAGTTTACAGGGAAATATCAATAAGTGTGCTTTATGTAATCTCATTTAATGGCCTATTAATTAGGCAAATGACTTTATAACTCTGAACTTAGCCTACTGATACCCAAGGGAAATTTACAGACTGACACTCTCAAAGGTCTTCAGGCCCATAAGTCACACCTTAAGAAAAGCACAAAACAATAATGCACAAAATAGGAGACTACTAATTCTGATGCAATAATACATTATGTTTAACTGCACAGTCAACATCAAAATTTAATTATGCACAACAGGTAACACCAACGAAAGTAAAAGCATAAGGCTTCAGGCCCATCGGAGTTCAAGTTTATACTTGGAAAGTGCCAGAATGAGAAAAATGAAAAATTAACAAAAAATGCATAAATTTAATACAAATGATAATCCAATAGAGCTGGTTTTCTAATATGAGCTGTATGTCAATCCTAAGAATCATTCTTGTAAGACTAGTTGAAAAAATAGAAAGTAACAGTTTTCTTTCCATAACGTTAATGGTGGCAGTGCACAAAGTAGGTTTTTTGTCAATTTTGATGCAACATTACATAATGATTAACTGTATAAAAACCACCAATTTTTAAATTCCTACTATTAAAAACATGGACTTTAAAAAAATTTTGATAACCACTGGGCTTCATGCCAAAGGGAGCTCTGAGTCCCACATTGAATATTCCAGTATGTGAAAGATAAAAATTTTCACAAAAAACTCTACAACTTCCAGAAAATTAACTAATGAGACAGATTTTCCAACTGAAGCTGTATTTCAGTCCTATGTTTCTTTCCTTTGAGTGTGAAAAGAGCAAGTGACATCGTTTTCCTTTCACGGTCACTACGGAGGCAGTGCCCAAAATAGGGTTTTGTTCAATTTTGATGCAATATTACACAATGCTTAACAGCATAATAACCATCAGTTTTTAATGATAAAATAAAACTATCATGGATATTCAGAAAATGTGACTAGCCCATAGAGTTCAGAGTCATACTTTGAAAATCCCAAAATGTAAACAAGAGAAAACTGTATTGAAAGAGTTTATTTCCATTTTCAACACCTTTTTTACATAAAGCAAAATAATCAATTTACTGTCATTTTTATATGTTCAATCAAAAAATATGATGTCAAAGCAAACAAATCAATAGAACAATTATAAATGTCCAACTTGCTCCATTCTGAGATTCTGAACATAGTGAATGGTTGAATCTGACAAACTGTAAAGATATGAGTTTTTTTTTTCATTTTTGACACTTATTACACAATACACAATATCAGGTTTACCATCATTTTTATATAATCAACTAACAATGTTGTTAAGATGCAGAAAATGTCAAAAGAACAACTTAACATATCTAATTAGTTCAAAAATGAGACTGTTAACATGCTTGAGGATTAAATTTGAGGAAAAAACACTTATACAAAAAAAAAAGGTATAACTTCACCAAACCTTTACTGATCAAGCTTATTTCAAAACTTAATCTGTATTTCAGTAACACTGATCACTACTATGAATTTCAAGACAATTGGCCAATTGATTTTTCTTAAAATGTGTTATAGGTGTTGCATATATGCTGAAAAAAAGTGAAAAAACAACAAAACTTTTATAAAAATGCCCTGATCATGACAATTTTCAAACTTGACTTGTGTATTATAGACATTCATCAGTTCTGTAAGTTTCAAGCCAAAAAGGTAAAGCGATTTTTCACTTATTGTGTCATCAGGGTTTCATATATGCTGAAAAAAGTGAAAAAACTGCATAACTTCCATAAAATTGTTCCTATCATGCTGATTTTCGAACTTGACCTGCGTATTATGAATATTTATCAGTTCTGTAAGTTTCAAGCTACAAGGTAAAACGGTTTTTCAAACATTGTGTTATAGGTGTTGCATAAATGCTGAAAAAAGTGAAAAAACTGCATAACTTCCAAATAAAATTGTTCCTATCATGCTGATTTTCGAACTTGACCTGCGTATTGTGAATATTCATCAGTTCTGTAAGTTTCAAGCCAAAAAGTAAAACGGTTTTCCACTTATTGTGTTATCGGTGCTACACAAATGCTGAAAAAAGTGAAAAAACAGCATAACTTCCCCAAAATAGGCCTGATCATGCTGATTTTCAAACTTGACCTGCGTTTTATGAATATTCATCAGTTACGTAAGTTTCAAGCCAAAAGAAAAAATGGTTTTCCACTTATTGTGTTATCGGTAAAAGTGCACGGCGACGACGGCGACAGCGACGACAGATGCAGGTGATGGCTATATGTACAGACACATCTGTGTCTGTACATGAAACAGTTTTCCGCTTATCGTGTTATCGGTAAAAGTGCACAGCGACGACAGACACAGGTGATGGCTATATGTACAGACACATCTGTGTCTGTACATAAAAACAGTTTTCCGCTTATCGTGTTATCAGTAAAAGTGCACGGCGACGACAGACGCAGGTGATGGCTATATGTACAGACACATCTGTGTCTGTACATAAAAATATCAAACTTTTAGATACATAATTTAATGATCATAGAGATTATATTTCTATAACATTTGTGTTGCTTTTACTGCATAGAATAAAAATACAGAGAAGTCTGCTTTTTAATTATGTTGCTACCACTCAAAAGGGATATTCTAATTTTAAGAAATTATGACTAAAAAAATGCAGTCTCTGTAAAATTAGCAATTTTCCCCATTGAAAAGATTGAGTAATTACCATAAATGTTAATATCAAAATCTAAATTTATAATTGTAAATTAGAAATTATAATGAATACTTGAATAAAATAAAGAACATTTCTCAGAAACAAACTCACCTGAAGTAAGATTCCATGTGTCAAGTTCTGAGAATGTCTCTGCTGCTGGTCTCTTGGCAAATATCCTGTGAGCTGAGCAAGAACTGATCCAAGCTGGTCTTTAAAAACCAGAGGTCTCAGGGCTCTGCCTGCCATGACTCTGGTCTTGAAAACTCGACTACCCGCACAGCTGCCAAATTATAATTATGACTACACTTTAGTGCAGCATTTGATAACCAACAAAAAAATCAACAAAAAATGTGTCAAGGTTGGACCCATGAAAACATATATATCCATTTTGCTAACAATAAACTGTCTTAAGGGTCTTAGTTAAACTATAAAATACTGAAGCTGTGTTGTGTTTTTATGGAAGTTTAAGTTTGGTCAAGCATTTATGAGTGTGTTACACATACCTAGGCAGAACAATTTATATATACTGTTAACCACAATTTGCTAAATTGTTGTTGTCTTCTAAACTGACACACAAACATCACTCCATCCTCAACATTTAATTAAAATCAATCACTATTCATTCTAAAATTAAGACATTGCTTTCATGACCAATAAAAAAATGCAAATCCGTACATGTATATGGCAATTAAAAACTTGAGAGTAGTTTAACTTTGAGCTATGCAAATTCTGTGAGCATTCACCTTGCCACCCCTGTCTAGTGCTCACAAAGTACAAAAACTTGCTCTTTACTTTGAAACATCAGAATCTCTAAATATTACTCAATAAAAGAATATGTTTCTTTCAATCTTAAACTTCGGTTTTTACCAGCACAAGTGAAAATTGCTAGTCTCCATCTCCATAATTAAACCTTTCTAAAAAATGCAAGGCTTAGAACTAAAAAACAGGATAATCATAATAATTTTGTCAACAGTTCTGAATATGGTATACCTCCTCCATTAAAAGAAAGTGTTCAAATTTCTGGGAAAAACCAATATTGAGGTGTAGCGTTCATTGTGTACCTTTTATTAAATTTGTCTTCATTATATCATATCAAAATGTGTACCTGATCACAAAGGGAATGTACGCAGGCAGGTTCAGTTTGGGATCATTCCCCTCAACCATGGCAGGGAATAGTCTCCCCATTACCATTAGGATTGGATACAACCCTGGATGAAGGTGAAGCTGACCTTGGTCACTAAAAAGTATAAATAAACAAGGCAGCAAAGCTGTCAAATGTACAGACACAGAAAAAATACCCTATTTGTTACATTTTGAGATTCTTAACATGATTTGAGTTCATTTCCATTTTTGATAATTAAAGAATATACAATAACAGATTTACCATCATTTCATTATATTTAATCATTCAAGTAACATGACTGCTAGGATACACATAATGTCAAAAGAACACTTTTACAAATCTAATTAATTCATTACTGCGACTGTTAAAATGCCTTAGAACTGAATCTGAGGAAAACCCACTTATATTAAAACAAAACAGCAATAAAAATAAACTGACCAAGCTTATTTTTGAACTTGATCTGTTTATTAGACCATGAATCAGCCAGCAAGTTTCAAAGCAAAATATGACATGGATTTCATTTTTTTTTTTTTTTGCATAACAGTGGATAAAACGTTTAAAAAAACAGCATAACTTTTGGGAAAAGGTCCATTTTTACACTTAACCTGAATTTCACAAATATTCACCAGTTCTGTAATTTTAAAGACAAAAGGTAAAATGGTTTTCATTTTATTTGTATAATGGTGGGTAAAATATGCATAAAAAGTGTAAAATAGCATAGCTTCTGGGGAAATCGTCTGATAAAGCTAATTTTTAAACTTGACCTGCATTTCATGAATATTCATCCATTCTGTTAGTTTGAAAACAAAAGGTCAAACTATTTTTCACTTATTGTTATAAAACTGAAAGTGCACAGCTACAGCAATGACAGACCCAAGTGATGGCTATATGTACACATCTATTTCAACTTATTTATTGTTCCTCCCCACTTAATCGTGTTGAGTGGTAGATTTCATGATATATTTGTTTATTATTTTCCTCCCTACTACATTGGAGAGGTCCAAACCAAGTGTTGAGTGGCATGCTTTTACGATATTTTTGCTTACTGATTTATATTTCTTCCTTCCCTGCTAGTCTGGTTGAATGGCATGTTTTTCTTACATACTTGTCTATTTTTATCTATATCATTTGTGGGGTTTTCCTTGGCCTATGTGAATCCAAGGTTATGGCCTCTTTGCAACCACACAAACTGAAATATGACCCAGGCAGGTTCAGGCTGATTTATCATCTCTCCTTTCCCTCGGAGCGGTCAGTTATTGATGGTAGTGACAAGGAATTCTCCTCAGTCCAATATCATACTATTGAAAATGCTATATAACTCACAAGGTATAAGACTGGGTGCCCATCTAGATTGATCTAACAGGATCGGTCCATCTCCACGGGGTCTCTTGCTAAATTGTTTTCAGATCAAGCTGCTAAACGATAGTTAATTACCCCCTATCAGCTTCCGTAGGCGTGACAGACATCTACACTGCCCAAATTAATTGCAATTAAGTGGGAATCCCCTTGGAGAGAGTTCGATCCAAAGTTAGTATGATAGTCTCTGGGAATGGTCTCTTAGTCAATCTCAAATGAATTTTCCATGAAGACCCTTTGTCGTATAGTTAATATTCTGTATTTTAAAATTGCAACCAAGTTATAAAAATTTTGGCATATCTGGAAAAGGTTCCTACTTTGATCATTCCATACCTTATATTTTTGGTACCTTCATCCAACCCTTTCAGGAGAAATTGAAACAGGCTTGGGTATCGATGAAAGAACACTCTTCCTGTCATACTATAAAAAGACAAATAATAAATTTCAATTTTAATTCAAAGCAATTGAATCTAACTAGAAGGCAAAGCTGGCAAATATACAGACACCAAACAAAGCAGTTTTTATCAAACAAAAGTAATCAGAAAATTTAATTTGGAGGTTTATAGGGTAAAAAACACATAAATAGTTGTAACAAAGGGCCAGACACAGCGATCAGAAGATACATATATAGTGATTATACATAATGTGCAAGAGAAAATTTTAAGACCTACCAGTTTTTCTTGGACATGTCTTCTTTGCTTCGTTTAACACCAAATATCCGAGTCATCATGGCACTGAACAGAAGGGTGGATGCATTTCTCACCTGTAAACATTTAAACAAAACATTTGTATATATAAAAAGACAATAAGCTGAAAGCTAGCAAACAAATAAATCTTTTTCATTGCCAAACTGGGAACTTTATCCCTGCTTCAACCCCTAAATGCTCAGTGCCAAGCAGTGAGACAGCAGGTACCATCTGTAAAGGACTGGTATGTCCCCTGATAGGTTAAAACTCACATCCTCCTTTCCTTAGGTGGACACTCTGACGACAATACCATCCAATCAATAATAAAACAAACTCATCTGCAATTTTGAAAATACCATGCCACTACCTGCCCATTAAACAGTAGCTCAGCAGCAGAGGAGGATAATTGTGGGGTTGGATGTATTCAATCAGCTGAACAGCTGGAATTATTGTATCGTACTCTATGGGAACTGATCACCTCAATTTCCACAGGATCAAATAAACTAATTTTGTAACAGACTACTAGCAGACCCTGTGGTCAGAGTGTTCAGTGTGAGGGATGTGAGGGGATATAATTGCTAAACCACTTAACTGGAATCAGTCCAATAATAATCTTACTCCTCCAGGGTCAGATCATTTTTTTTTTATCTTAAAGCAGTCAGTCCATGTATAGAGTTGGGTTGAACTCCATAGACCTATGTTGCATATGGAAATGAGCCCTTAATCATTATAGAAATGGTCTTTATATGGACTGACTGCTTTTAAGATTAAAATATGGTGTCTATGGGAATGTGTCATAAGACCAGGTAAGTTCATGTCTGATCTGAAGTTGCAGACTCAGACCATAAGTGATCTTTCATAGTAGCCACTGAAAACATTTTAAAATATGGTTGGCTTTCTGTCATTCAAGTCAGCCACTTTTTATAATGTATTTAGTCAATGTAGCCTCTATTTACATATCAAAATTAAGTCTACTTACAGCCCAGTAAGGAGAATTAAACCCAGCAATCCCAGCCTGTAGTCCATCTGCTACATAGGGGGCCACAGCTTCACCTAACCTGGAGTCTCTGAACAGAGCTCTGAGAATATTTAGAGAATGGACCTTGAAGTAGAAAACAAACAGGTTTTGTTGTTATACAATATGATGGTTTAATGTTTACCCAAGGAGTTATAACAGAAGGAGATTACNTCAACTTATTCAAATACATCAAAACATGTAAAATATTCCTAATTTTTGGTTAATAAAAAAAAAATTCAAATTAAGGTATTTGTATTTTTTCACAAAAAGTAAGGAAAATGGCCGCCATCTTGGATTCAGTTGCCATCTTGAAAAATGTAAAGTGCCTGAAAAATCAAAGAAGGCCAAAGTACTTGTGATCAGTGCAAATTTTGATAATATTAAGTTGTTAAGTAACTTTTAAATCAATTTTTGTATTTACGGTTGACACATGAATTTACTGGCGGCCATCTTGGATTTGGCCTGTTTCCGGTACAAACGGACACTTTTTCAAGCCGGAAACAAGCAGAAATGAAAAATTCAGGTTCTAAACTACAAGAATCAATCCTAAAACCTTTGCCTGACGGGGGGTGCAGCCAAATTGGATTTTTTGGCCTTTGGCTCATGGACTATATATTATGTTTAACGTCTTCATACCTAAGGATAAACAGAAATTTAAATTTTGTATTGTAATATTTGAACTATTCTGAGAAAAATGAAAAATTTGCAAGAACATCTTTAGTTTGCAGTAGTTTGCAAGAAAGTATTCGTGCAAATTAACAGCAAAGTTTGTGGGAGGCCTGATATTTTGCTAAGGTATAGCTGGCCCTTTTCTAAGGGAAAGTCATTCCTCTCACCTTCATGTAGCTCACCTGTGAAATCCTTTCTTGCTCTGCCTCTGAACTGGGTAAAGCTAATTTTAGAAGCAATTCCAGTGCCTGGATCAAACATTTGCCTCCTGTGGAAACTGGCTCAGTGGTCACAATAGCCTATATACCACAAAATCACAGTGAAATAAATTTAGTTTTTTATTTCATTCACATTTGCAGTGACTACAACAACCATGTTAACAAATTTTAAAACAAAAATTCAATAATATGTACTGTATATATATATATATATATATATATATATATATATATATATATATATATATATATATATTGTAGCAATTATGGCAGTAATTACAATAACCATGACAACAAAATTTTTAACAAAAATTCAACAGCATGTGTATACTATACATATTCAAAATGTTCTTGGACATTATGTGAGTAAAATATACTATTCAAAAGAAGTAGGGGAAGACCCACCATTTAAGATGCACAAGTTTCACCCGGGTCTAATATATACTATCATTAGAAATTATCTTAGACAGTCATTCTGTATTGAAAGATATTTCTACTTTAATTGTTTTGAAATGAAAATAACTTTTGTACTCATTAAAAGTAATAAGTATGATCAGGGTGAAACGTGAAAATTGGATACATTTGNGCCCTTTTCTAAGGGAAAGTCATTCCTCTCACCTTCATGTAGCTCACCTGTGAAATCCTTTCTTGCTCTGCCTCTGAACTGGGTAAAGCTAATTTTAGAAGCAATTCCAGTGCCTGGATCAAACATTTGCCTCCTGTGGAAGCTGGCTCAGTGGTCACAATAGCCTATATACCACAAAATCACAGTGAAATAAATTTAGTTTTTTATTTCATTCACATTTGCAGTGACTACAACAACCATGTTAACAAATTTTAAAACAAAAATTCAATAATATGTACTGTATATATATATTAGCAATTATGGCATGACATGACAACAAAATTTTTAACAAAAATTCAACAGCATGTGTATACTATACATATTCAAAATGTTCTTGGACATTATGTGAGTAAAATATACTATTCAAAAGAAGTAGGGGAAGACCCACCATTTAAGATGCACAAGTTTCACCCGGGTCTAATATATACTATCATTAGAAATTATCTTAGACAGTCATTCTGTATTGAAAGATATTTCTACTTTAATTGTTTTGAAATGAAAATAACTTTTGTACTCATTAAAAGTAATAAGTATGATCAGGGTGAAACGTGAAAATTGGATACATTTGTTTGCCCCCCGCCCCCCAACTTTCCCAGGAATATGCCGAAGTGAAAACGTTTCTCATACTACTAATTCTTAAAAATTATTTGGATGCAGAGAAGACTGGGTGGGAAAAATTCCCTGGCCAGTCTTCATTGGAGGGGCCAAATAAAATGTGGATCTCCAGTGGATTGTAGAAACAGAGAAATATGTCAGTCATTTAACAAAGGTAAATCTTGCTATTTTCACATGATAATGATGATCATGTTTGCTCTTATGTACTATCACTTGTTATTACTAGTACTAACATCGCCTTTTTTCTCCTTCCCCTTATTTATGCTCAATGTCATTTATGTTTCATGTACATGTAATTTATATATATATATATATATATATATATATATATATATATATATATATATATATATATATATATATATATAATGTGTCTGTACATAAAAATATTAGACAATACAGCACAATACTGTGTATCCAGATTGTAAGGTCAACAGCTCTGTTAAGCATGTATTACTAAGTTAAATTCAGTATGAGAATCAAAAGTAATGTGGTTTTCCTTAAATGGTCATTACAGTGTTCAAAAAGGGGTTTTCGTTTTTTGATGTAATACTACATAATTTTAAACAGCTTCAATTTTTACAATATATCATAAGTATCATGGACATTTAGAAAATGTGACCAGCAAAGGTCTTTAGGCTCATGGAAATTCAAAGTCACACCTTGAAAATGCCATGATTTGAAAAATGAACATTTCACAAAAAAATGCATCACTTCAGGAAAAATGATCCAATCAGGCTGGGTTTTCGAACTTGGTCTGCTATTTAGTAATATTGATCATTCCTGTAAGTTTGAAGACAAGAGACCAATTGCTTTTCCACTGAATGTGTTATCTGTATTGCATAAACTATGATGAAAAAAGTGAAAAAACAGTACAATTATTGGAGAAAAGGTCTGATCAAGCCTATGTGTTTGAACATGGAAAATGTACTGACCATTAGTACTCCTGTTTGCATTTAGCACTATATATATAAAAGCTCCAATGACCACTGCATACAAATGAGTATATATATATATATATATATATATATATATATATATATATATATATAATGGAGAATGTTGATCTCCCAGCTGAATTGAATTGAGGTAAATTTGGATATTTTTTTAAAATTCTGTCTAAAATTTATTTCCCGTCTTTTACAAACAAAGAATTAAGTATATACTAAAGTGAACTTACTTGGACATAGAAAGGAACACCTGCACTCCTCCTTGTTGCACACAACTTGGTACCTGACTCATCTTGAATGTCCTTCATAATATCTAGTAGCCAAGAAGATGGCAGTTGGTGTAGGTCCCTAACTGTGCACCTAATTAGAAAACATTTAATCCAAATTCAAACTGTGCACCTAATTAGAAAACATTTAATCCAAATTCAAATCACATTTGGCCCTGTTTTGCAAATACATTCTTAAGTTATTGAATATCTAATGTCTTTTGCTCTTGCACACTTCTATTAACACACCATGTTTCCTTCATGCATGCTTGTTGCACGCTATTCTATATAGGCCCATAGCCAGAGGGTTTGAACAAACCACCCTTTTTGCCAGGAAAAGCTCCACTCAGGGTGAAAAAATGATATATTAAGCGCACAAAGGTTTCAAGGTAAAAGTCCACTTTTTCAAAGAAAAGGACCCCCCTTTTAAATTGCTGGCTTAGTGCCTGCTGTACTTTAGAAAGTGTGGGGGTTGCAGGGTCAAAAATGTTTGTTGCATGCACATGCACTTCAAAGCTTATACCTGCACACTCTAGAGGCTGCCTCAAATTAAATGTCCTTTACACTTTTCAATTTGCTAAAGGTAAAGAGCTAGAACACATATAGACCAGGCTCATAGGCAGGTGGGGTGGAGTATTGGAACAAATTGCCCTTTTAGTTGGGAAAAGGTCCACTATGAACCAAAATTTGATCCAGGTAGTAAGTCATTTTTCAAGTTAGGTCAGTTGCTTGGGGCTTGTCACCTATTTAAAAAAATTAACTTTAAGTCTGCTTATAAAATAAAATGCTTATAATTTATTACAAACAATGCCCAGGTAGCTTTACAAACAACAGTTGTGTAGTGGTCTGTCATCTGCAAAAGGTTTGGATGGAAGTGACCTGAAAGGTTCTCACACAAAGACCCAACATGGTTTTGTACTTGGCATTTCCATCCTACTGTTAAATGTAATCACTACACAATAAATGATGCTGTGAAAGCAATAATGTGGCAGCACTTTTTTGTGAATGAAAACAAATGTATAAAGTATAAATTGTTAATTAAAAAAGGACAACTATAAGTAAACTTAATTTTGTAGCATGTGTATTCCCAATATACATTAGGATTTCATCTTATATCCTCACCTTGGTACAGTGTCTGTATATAAAGACTAAGGGTGTTTTCCCACAGATTTAGATCAATCTAAAGATTAAGTTTTAGATCGACCTAACTCCCTGGGGGTTCACGCTAAATTGCAGTCAGCCGAGCAGGCACCATAGTTAATTACCCCCTTACAGCTTTTAGTAGGCGGGACAGACGCTTAAGCCGGCCAAGCTGACAGTAATCTAGTGAGACTCCCCACAGGGATAGATCGATCTAAAAATCTATGGAAATGGGGTGTAAAAGAATCAATTAATGTCTTTAGACTAGAGTATAGCCTTACCTCCATAATGTATGACACATCTTAATAAATCCTGCATAAGCAAGTTCAAATGCTCCTCTGTGAATTGACTCCAGCAGCTGTTTTTTGAAATATTCTCCAATTGAAAGGATCTAAAAATATTAACAAATCAAAAGCACAAAATCAATATTGTTGTAATTCTCAAGTTAAGGTTATATATAATATCAAAATTTTCCGTGTATCATATTTGTGTCTTTTAATGAACCATGCTGACATTCCATCGTACTAAATTATTACTTTTCAAAATTGAAGTTGTTACCAAATGCATTGAATTAATGGCTGTCATCTAGTATACTGCGATTGAATGGCCTTCTGGTCAAAGTGTCTTCCTCGAGAGTGGGAGGACATGAGTAAGACCCCATTCCCAGAGATTAGATCGATCCAAACTAGATCAACCTAACTCTAAATAGCTGTCAGCCGAGCGGGCATGAAAGTTAATTACCCCCTTACAGCTTGTAGTAGGCGGGACGGACATTTAAGCCAGATTATCTGACAGTAATCTAGTGAGACTCCCCACGAGGATAGATCGTTCTAAATGTCTGCGAATACGCCCTAAGACCCTGTCCAGGGACAAACATGGACCAGTTCTTCATAAACGGTACCTGCTGTCTCCCCACTTGCCGCTCAGTATTTAGAGGTTAAAGCAGGGGTAAAATTCCTGGTCCAGCAGTGAAAGACATTGTCCGTATGCTAGCTTTCATCTGCTCTGATGACAACTGGGCTGTATCCTCTCCCAGGTGGTGAGAACATGTACACGCTGTCTGTATCAGGGCTAAATATGACCAGGCGTCACATGTAAACTGCACCGAGACGCATGTGGACAAGAAATGAACTTAACTTTTTTATATTACCTGCTGGAAGCTGAGCAATCCTCCTGCAGCATCTTCTTCTCGTTTTATTGGTGCTGTTTGAGTAAGTTGTCCCAACAATAATGATGCTTCTTTTACACACCTCCAACAGCAAACTACCAAATATTCTGGCATCAATTTAACTGCTATACCCTTTTTGCCTAAGTCGTCTTTATCATCCTCTGTAGTTCCTTCTGTCAACCCAGAACCTGGATACAGATAAAAAGATTAAAAAAAAAAAACACTCGAGTGCAAATGTTTTTTTTTTCTATCATAATTGCAGTAAAATATTTACAAATATTCAAAAATAAAAACTCATTTATGATTATATAAACCATATACATGTACTTAGTATATCAAATATAATCTGACCAAAACCAGCACNGACAGGTCAGTACCACTGAACTTAGATGGACAGCACATTTTGCAAAATTTCTTTCTAAATTCGCAAAATTTCTTTTAAAATGACCAGGGATAGATATAAACAGGGTATATTACCTTTGTCTCATTATTCCTCTTGTCAGCAACAACCATGTCTTCTGCATTTTATCACTCAGTCACAACATATTTCAACTTCCAACAGTATCTCCTCAACATCATTTTTCACAGTCTGGCTCAACCCTGGAATGTACCAACTCTTGTTATGCTTGAAATCATAGAATTAATGTAATTCCCAGAAGGCAATGTGAGCAATTTTGTCATGTCTTTTCTTACACCCACTTTGTGTTAGTTTTTAACATTCGCCAAGTAAATGCATTAATTTTTGAAGTTGCATCTCTATTTCCACACATTTTGCATCTTTATGTCCCTTTTTCTTCACGACCTTGACCTCGTAGTTCCTTTTAGGAAGTATCTGTTTTTGAGCTGTCACGAGCAAGCCTTCTGTTTTTTTTATCCACCTTGTCTCCAACCATCGTCAAGAACTGGCCTCGGTTTCATTTGTCTTGACAGGATTTTGTACATGGAGATGTTTCTCTCTTCCTTTCTCTTTTCTTTCTTTCTTCACGTTCTGCTCATCTATAAATTCACATTTGGAACTTTCTTTTATTATTATCATTAATAATGATAATAATAATAATAATAATAATAATAATAGTAAATAATAATAATAATAATTATTATTATTATAATAATTAGGACAGCCTTGTGAAACTTGGCCAATATTTATGCAGAACTAGGAAAACGTTGCTAGTCTAATCTAGAACAATCAATTTCTCTTGGATAAAAACCAACTGTGTAATATATGCGTATTTTTAACAATTGTGAGGGTCTTAATAAAGATTTCTTTCAGCACTGATTCATTCACTTTATATAGATGTAAACGTCCCTCTTTCTGTTTTTTTTTTTTTTATTTACAGACTCATAAATATCTATATAGAGTTTTATTATTGTCTTTAAATTATGGAGCCATTTCAAATAAGATGCCATATAAGAAACAATAATTCAAATAAATTGCCCAATACATTACAAAGTTCATTCGTCTTTTTGCATGTCTAAGGCTTCGTTCACATGCAATGTCTATTTTCTATTTTCTATTTGCGCTATCTTATGATCACGGTCTGTGGCCTGAATATCCCGCCGCGTAATTACTGGCAGCGCGAGCCAGATACTTATAGTAACTTATAGTAACTGGCTCGCGCTGCCAGTAATTACGCCGCGGGATATTCAGGCCACAGACCGTGATCATAAGACATACCGCAATAGAAAATAGAATTTAGAAAATAGACATTGCATGTGAACGAAGCCTAAGAGCGCATTCTCAACGAATTAAGCCAGGCTTTACAAAGCCGGTGACCTAAAAATGGCGGACGTACATGAAAGAAAAACCGCCTAATCTTTTAATAGTCTCTCCGCCTCTCACACGCCTCCCCACACGTCGTCCCTGCGGGTACAGTAATTAAATCTTGGCTCCGAACATTAATATTTCCGTGAATATCTCTGGTGATATTATCTCCGTAGATAGTCGATTCATTGCTGCTCTACAAGCCAAATTATTCCTTTTTCGTCTCTGTTTTCAAAGATAATAGAACAGAAGAGCTTTTTTCCTTCGATCGCCTTCAGCCGCCATGCTTTCTTCACCAAGAGTTTAACTGATGAGCATGCGCACTTAATATTTCTCAGGTAGCTTCCGCATGGCGAACGGAGATGCGATTTAATTACTGTACCCCGCAGGGACGACGAGGCGGAGAGACTATTAAAAGATTAGGCGGTTTTTCTTTCATGTACGTCCGCCATTTTTAGGTCACCGGCTTTGTAAAGCCTGGCTTAATTCGTTGAGAATGCGCTCTAAAGGTTTCAATCAATTAATGCTTTAATGCTCATTTTTAGGAAATTCCTCATACGCGGTGTTAGACCAAGGATGGAGGAATGTGAACTTCTCTGTACATAATAGTGGTACATTCTACTGCGATAAGGACGGGTGGGTTACCCAGTGGTATCGGTTCTCTGGGACAGCTGGGACCAAAATGCCAAACTGGGTAAGAATATCAGCAGGTTGTGTGTGTGTGTGTGGGGGGGGGGGGGGGGGGGGGTATGCAACATTAAATCTGCCCATAAGAAGGAATATGCCGACTACATGTATCATTCAATAGATTTCAGTAATATTTAATTACAGGATACATGACAATGCATTGTCAGGCTTAAAATACAACCGGCAAACTTTAATTCCTAGACGCATATGGGGTTTGTCTGTCAACAGTATTGTTTATGAAGAGGCCCATTAGAGTAATTCTAATACCCCTCCCCTCACTTGTCTATTCACAGCCCAGGGCCTACAATGGGATTTTCCGCTGTTTTGATTGGTCGATATTTCACATCTTCACAAAATTCAATTTGGCAATTTGATGACAAAAATAACTATATGTGCCTGCAAAATTCTGAAATAGACAATTAAAAGATGGGATTACTCATCAACCAAGTCGAACTTCGTTCATTATCCTCTCTGCGTTATCTTTTTGTAGTGCGTGAGTACATTTAAATGTGGAGCCTGCGCCCCAGTGTGGATAAACGGCACTGACCCCGCACCAGAAGATGGCGCTGTCGACCGCCAAGCATGCGCAAGCTGGTCTGGTGATTGCTGCAGGTGGTCTATGATGGTTCGAGTGCGCAACTGCGGGGGATTTTTCCTGTATTATCTACCACCAACTGCTGACTGTTGGCTTGTCTATTGTGGCGAATATTAATATAAGACATGCAGACATATGAGGACCTTGCCATGTAAAACTGGCTCAAGACATTCTTCTTAAATTTACTGGGTGTGATTATCTTTATACAGTGCGTTCCTACACGTCACTGTGGAACCCACGCCCCTGTGTGGATAGACGGCAGCACAGGATTTAAACTACTGCGAATGCGCGAAAAGTGCGCTGTTTGAAATAAACAATGGTAAAATTGACAAAGCCTCATGGGTGTTTACCGTCCGGTTGATTTTATTCAGTTTGTTTTCTTGTGCCGTTTTGAGAAGTTATATTGGAAATGTTCTGTTGATTATATTTATTTAAAGGTTAAACGGGCTTTCCTTTCAGTAATGTTCTGCCTTTATTGTAAGGGGATTCTCTTTGTATTTATAGTGTTACTTGTGGCACCAAGGGTATTTATCACCCCTCCCCCTCTTGATCAAGAGGGGGAGGGGTGATATATATATATATATATATATATATATATATATATATATATATATATATATATATATATATATATATAAACATTAAAAAAAAACATTTGCAGAATAAAACAAATTTTACCTGCATAATTATTACTGCTTCCGTATTATGGACACTGTAATCCAGCAGAGAGCTTAACCTTTGGGAGTTTACAGGAAAATATCAACAAGTGTGCTTTATGAAATCTCATCTAATGGCTACTTAATTAGGCAAATGAGTTTATAGCACTGAACTTAGCCTAGTGAATACGCTTTACCTGTTATCGTTCTGACGATCGCGAAGATGGGTACTCTATTGCCGGTTGAAATTAGGTTGTTCGCATGCATTTGGATGTCAGAAAATCTTATTTTTGTATCAATCTCACCTCCTGTTAGTAACTTCAAGGGTTTACCGCTAGCACTACCAGAATGACTGACAGGCAATCAAGTAAGCCCTACCCTAGGTACTAGATTCCGGTATTGCCAGCTCGATCTTGATTTCATATAAAACCTGTTGATGATATTTTGAAGATTAAAAAACAACAAGAGCGGAAATAAATAATAATTTTAATATGATGAAAAAACTGTACAGAAATTGAATAAAATAAATATAAATTGGAAAAATTGCAATCGTTAAAGCACTGCAGTAGACGAGGTACCGCTAAGCCGTGGGTCGGTAGATTGTGCCGTGGGCCGCAGAGACGAGTAGCTGCAGAGCCGTGGGTCGGTAGATCGTGCCGTGGGGCGCTGAGACGAGTAGCTGCAGAGCCGTGGTCGGTAGATCGTGCCGTGGGCCGCTGAGGCGAGTAGCTGCAGAGCCGCGTGTCGGTAGATCGTGCCGTGGGCCGCTGAGACGAGTAGCTGCTGGGCCGCGTGTCGGTAGACCGTGCCGTGGGCCGCTGAGACGAGTAGCTGCAGAGCCGCGTGTCGGTAGATCGTGCCGTGGGCCGCTGAGACGAGTAGCTGCAGAGCCGTGGGTCGGTAGATCGTGCCGTGAGCCGTTGAGACGAGTAGCTGCAGAGCCGCGTGTCGGTAGATCGTGCCGTAGACTGCTGAGACGAGGTGGGCTGCTGCTGTAGAAGAATAGGCTGAGCAGTAAAACTGCCCAGCTTATATACGTGATCCAGGTAAAAATCGTTCTGTTTCGGAAGAGTTCCAAAACGGGAGGGGGGTAGTGTAAACCGTCGCTGACATAACCCATATCAGCAATACCGGTGTCACGTGAAGAAACCGTCGTCGTGAATAAACCGTTCTGACGGATTATTCACGCGGGGGAAGCAGTCTGTTGACTTACAGTACGTAGCTGCACATGCATTTCCAACATTTCCCCCGCAGAGAAAGTTGTAGTATTATCAAACACACAATTTCTTTTTAATGAAAATGACTGAACTCTGAATTGAAAGAATATTGTAGAGTGAAAAGATTTATAGGGCCTACTACGAGTCTTAGATCTGCCACGTTTTTCACACAGAGCAAAACAGCTCAGTCACGATCAAACGCTCACTTCCAACATTCCCCCATATACTGTAGTAATAAGATTATCAAATACATACTCCCTCATGACGAAAACCACTGAATTATGAATTGGAAAATCATAGTTCAGTGCAAACATAGCGCCTCCTTAGGACGACATCGTCATACCGGAAATGCTTCTTTCAATCTACCCTCAATGCGCACGTGCAGAACGGTTTCGTCACGGGGTCTATCACGCCACACCGGCACGCCCTTCCGTCAATCAAATAGAACTGCTCCGCAGTGAATCTGCAGTTGAATGTCATCAGAC